GGGAACAGTGAACGATATAACATACATGATGGTGTAATTAAGAATTGCCCGACGTGGGGTCCCAAATGAATCTGTGATCTTATGACGTACATAGAACCAAGTAGTCCACAATAGTTGCCTTTTAATCGCTTCCTTGAAGTTCGGGCTATCTATAGTAAGGTTTGGTATGAAAATATTTGTCACAATGGTCGTCTATCTTGTTTTACATTTCCGAACTTGACTTATTTCGTGTACGCCTCCGTCCATTGTGTTTGCCCTGTGTTTGAACCCGATATCACTTTCCCCGCCCCGTTCAGATTAAAGGTGCTGTGAAACTGCCTCCTGCTCCACCGTGGCTTCGAAAATCTTGCGGCCGATTGTTATCACGTCTGTTGGTTCGCGGCACGACCGGGTCCGGGCCCGGAGCGAGATCGACCGGTTCGGATGGAGTTCGCAGTCTGTTGTTTGCCTCCGCCTCACTATCCCCCGGTGTAATTGGGGCTCCGAGTGGATGTATCACCTCACTTGATCCACGCCTACAACCAGCCCTAGCTCACGGGCTGGCCCAAATTCTGGCCAGCAAACCGTCCTGGTTGATGGGACGGTCGGGGATGGAACAGTTCGCGGAAGACGCACCACAATGCTACTTCGAGTCAATCGCGGCCCAGGTAAGGCTTTGTTTGATTACTCGATAAGACTCATTCATCTGTGCACGTGCGTGAAGTGTGCCGCACAAGCGTTCTTCTCTCCCTCACGTTTTTTGCGTTTTCCACCATTGCGTTTGATTTGTTCTGTCTTTTGATTCTCACTCACCCGAAGCATATTTTCTGACCTCGTGCGATGGGCATTTTCGCGACTTTCACGGCTACCAGCACATCTCGATTCTTCCCAAAATCAATTAGGCGAAAACGACGCGCCCCGAAGTACTCGGTATCGAAAAATCATCACCGGATGGTGTTATCGTTAGCCGGTAGTTGTGAACCTGCGAGGAACAATCCATATGTTTTGACCCCCTGGAGGACGGGGCCCTTTAGCAACTCATGAACGGATTTCTTTGCTGCAAAATGTTTGCACAGTGATTTGTGTGGCACACACCCTGAACTGAGATTCATGCGAAATAGGATAAGAATAATAGCCAACTCTCAACCGCGTGCCACGACTAAACCCGAAACCCTGATGATGATGATGGTGGTGGTGGTGGTGGTGGTGGTCTGAACAATTCTCGTTGAACTGGTATTTTTTGTTCTCGCACACATGTCTATCTGTCCGGTGACGTTCCACAACTTATCTCTCTCTCTCTTTCTCTATGTACTGATTATTACAGTTCCCTTTTGTGTCACTCCATCAGATACCTTGAGTTGATCGGGAGGAGGATTTTCCAAATAGAAGCCATGACATGCTTCACAATGGCCCACATCAGTGATAGGATTTTTCTTCGGGAACTCTGACCAGAGCCTTTGACTCGAAAAAGTCTGGCCCGCAAGGCAGTGAGGCGTAGATTCAAAACGAGAGCGTGACTGAAGCACTCGTGTGGGAGCTTCTGGAGATCTATCATGTCCATCTAGCTGGGTTTTTTTTGACCGGTAAACTGCCCCTCCCCGTGTTTATTTGCCGGAGTGACCTCTCCAGGGGCGAAAGCGGATAGTCGGGGGAGGCCAGGGTGTGCCCAAGCGGTTGGCCTTGTGAGACTGAGCCTCTACCTGTTGACCTTACAGGAAACCAAAACAGCAGCATGAAGCTGCATGAGTAGTGGTTTTATAAACTGAAACTGTTGATTCGTATGCTCTAAAATCAGACCCAGGTAAAAATACGGTATCGTGACAGAGTCAAGTGGTTTGATAATTGGTCGATTGCGCCCCGTAAAATGTCATACTCATTTCACTTGGTCGTGCAAATAAACGCATGCACAATGTTGTGAAGTTTTGTGAATAGTGTTTTAACCCAATTGTAAATTATCACATTTATTTGCTGATTGGACAGTCACACTCGGTGTGTGATATTGACCGAGCTAAACGGTTGGGTGGAACGAGATGGTCAACTTAACTTTGTGTGAGGGTATGACGAGTAGATTTGGCCATATAAGTCGTACTTCCCTGGTCGCGAACCTCTTGACGTTCATGTATTGACTCACTGTCTACGCATGTCTTGCTTACGTACATTCAGTGTCTTTACATTCAAGCGGCTCCCAGCTTTTTGCTTGTTCCACTTACTCCATCTTTGCCGGTGGTTCGACTAACTGGACAATCAATAGGTGAAAACCAAACTGGCTAGTTCACCTCAATCGAATTTCGTGAGTATCCTTACTGAATTTGATTGGCTCTCGTAACTTGGGTTTATTCCGTTCATGAAAGTGCCGAACGGCAAACGACGGATTATTCCGCACTATACCTACTACACTTAAACGGATATGCATTAATGAATGTTTCCGCCTGCACGAATTTGAAACACAGAACAAACATGCTTTATGTAAACTATAAATGTGGTGTCAATAAAGTCGTCCTTGCGGTACGTATGGTGGCCGGTTGATCCGCGCATTGCATAATGGATGTAGGAGTGGGGTACCTGGGGCTTCCTGACGGTGGGAGTCTTTGCACTTCACTGGTCAGCTACCACCCTCCCAAGCGCAGCAACCCCCAGCCAATAAAGTTGTGTCCCGTCCACGTTCCGCTTGTCTCTCTGGGTGCACGACGCTAAGAGCCGAGCCCGAAAAGCGGACCGATAATCAACGCATCAGCGAACTACACAATTAATCAAAATTCAAAGACCTTGCTTGGTAGAACTCTAGAAGCTGGCACACGGGTGCTTTGTTCACGCTCCCACTACCTTTTGGGTCAGACTTTTGAGTCGAAGGCTCCGGTTAGGGTTCTTCAGGATTAACCCCTTCATCGGCGTGGGCTTCCGCGAAGTGTGTCGTACCCCTAAGTCTGAGATACCTAATTGGAGAAACTGAAACTGGAACTAATGTTTTCATGTCATGTTCATCTCATCTGACCTCGTTCGATCACAACAGTAACATTTCGTTCTGTGATCAGAGTCACCAACCTCAGAATTATCAATTTTCCACAGATCTTGGATCTTCTCACCCTGAAGTTCACGTCTCTCCCCACGGAACCGACTCTGGCGGCCTCGGCCAGTATGACCGACTCGGTAGCCCGATTCGGTGCCCTTGTCAGTGTGGCCACGATGCACGAGTTCTGTAATCGAGATCCCGCGCTGGGTAAACGTTTGTTCCTTGAACCGCTCCTGGCTGTGCTCTATCAGTGCGTAGCATCGGATGCGTCCAACCAGTCCTCCTCAGCAAGTCCAAGTAAGTCGTGTTCTCAGTGCTAAGGTTCTTCTTCTTCAGATCTTTCTGGTTCATCTCTGCATTCTGTTGGATCCATCGTTCTTAGAGTTGTCTGTGTTTGAGCACATTAATTAGATACTGTTGGGAAACATCCATTGATATCCGTGAATTAACTTCAACGTAAGTTACCGGACACGTCTCCATGTCGCAGACAAGAGATGTACTACCAATTTGTTGAATAACCGTGACCCAGATAAATGTAGGCTCAGTGAATGAGCGGTCACGGAATGTAGGCGACACTGCTCGTGAAAGCGATAAATTTTGGTCTGGTCATTCACGATAAAACACCGCACGTATCCACAAACCGCACTACAAATTGGTGTTTCCGATTAGCCCCTCAACCGAGCTGCAGATTATTTTGTATTCTATCTATCTGAAGGGGTATTCTGGAAGAAATGACTCAAGCGCACTAGACACCATCGGTTCGTCTTGAATACGCCTGCTGCCTTACAAGCCGAATTCCGTTGTACGAAGTTGAGTACGAAAAATGTTCGTATAAGAGGCCAGTCATCATCATTGTACATCGAGATATTGGGAAGTGAACTTCACTGATCGCTACCAGGCTTGCAATGTACACAAAGTCAGTGAGATAGTACAAAAAAGACAGCGTTTGCGCCTAATTAGAAGGAGGCAGGGATAGTGAACCTTTATGGTCATCATGCGGAGTACACAACGCAACTGTGCGCACATAACTTTTCAGGCATTCTGACCTCATAAGAAATGACAGCAAGATCGCCACTGCTCTCGCTTTGCCGTCATGACCTTTAGTGCCTCCAACCCACCGGTTGCAGAGTCTTTTGGACCCAAATCTGAAAGACGACAGACACCTACTCTACCCAATGGCTCTGTTCGTTTCTTCATGTCTCGTTTCCACGTCATCTGTTGACCTCCACGTGGTTTCTTCCAACCTGGAGCCGCAACTGCGAATAAGGCGCGATGCGGTAGACCATAGCTGGACGTACGCAATACGTGTCCCAAACAGTGAAGCTGTCCAATCTGAATGCGACGTGCTAACGAATTCTCCACCCAATCATTAGTAAATCTTCGACAGCTTTCATGCTATCTCCATCCAACCCGCATGAAACTACGTAAACATCAACAGTCGAAGACTCCCAGACGATCAACATCTTCCACCGGCAAATTTAGAGTCGCGCAAGCGTAAAGCAGAACTGACCGCACACTGGTGTAGCACACACGACCTTTCAGTTTCAAGGGAAACTTGACGTCGACACGAAAGTTGTTTCTGTCCTGTTTACGCTGCTCGTGCTATGGAGATGCGGCCGATTACTGCCTGGTCACGCAACGTCTATCTATCTACGTAGGAGAGACAATCCACTGCAGTTAATCCTTGACCATTAAGGATCATATTTGGGGTAGATTATATCCAGTCTCACTATTGCACTTTGCAGGTGCGAAAAGCACACCAAATGGAGTTACAGAACTTCAAAGTCTCTCGAAAGCGCTTTGCACATCCTCTATACATTCGAACAGACAGTCGATGTTATCAGCGTACTCCATGTCGCACCGCTTTTTCCGAGCTACACATTCAATGCCAACAGTTTGGAGACCACTTAGTGTGTTCTCCAATATTTCGTCTAGGGCGAGATTAAATATGAATGACAATATAGGGCACCCTGGACAAACGATGCTGTTTGTTTTGAACGGTTTGCTTAATCCCCATAGCCCCTACGCTACCCGAAGTATGCAAACACAGCAATCGCATCAGGTTTGCATAGTTCCGCGATATGCTTTTGCCAAGCAGTAAATCCAATAGGGCTTCGCGATTAACTGAGTCGAAGGCTCACTTCAGGTCAAGTAACACTAGAACTGTTGGTCGACAGTGAGTATGGTGTATCTGTAGAAGTTGATGCAACGTGAAGATTTGGTCGAATCAACCGCCACCTGGTCGAAATCCTGTCTGTTTTTCTCGGCTATTTGTCTCCCTAAACGATACCAGACGTTGAATTATGACGGAGGCTAGATTTTTGGTGACGATTGAGATCAAATTCCACGGTGGTTTGTGCAGTCGTTGCGAGATCCCTTCTTAAAAATTGGAACGATCAGTGATTCGCCCTAGGATGATGAAATGCGCCCGTGTGACCAGATTTTACGCAGTAAATGAGTAATGGGATCTGTGAGGTCAGCGCTCCCCATTTCGCCTTGAGCCTTGAGAGAAAGCCTGCCGGGTCCTGCTGATTTTCCCTTCTGTAGGGCTTGAATGCACTTGATCGCACTGCAGCTACCGTAGGAGGTTCACATGACACTGCCTAAGGAGGCGTGACTATAACAGACGAGATAGTCTGGTCAGCGCCTGGCCAGCTGAAGTAATCCGCCCACCGGGCAAGCGGTTGTTCTCTATTGTGAGCAATTTGTCCACTTTTGTCGTAGATTATTTCACTAATTGTGGTTCGCCGGTCACCCATGTTACGTATCAGTTGGTACAGTCTTTGATTATTCTTTGATGCAGCTGCTACTTCTATTTCTTGTGCACTTCTCCGGTCTATGCTTATCTTTCCCTACCTATCTCGGAGCCTCCGAAAGCCTCAGTATGGTCGGGGGTGGGTGGCTAGTGTTGTGGCTAGTCCCCCTTCCCTCGCTCTTCGCGAAATGCTCCCATACGACCAAGCGTCTCGAATAGCCTCTGCGGAGGAAGCCCTACTCACTGCCTTCTCGTGGCGGAAGTGTTTTCCCACCAAAGTGAG